ATGTAGATGTGTATGTATATATATGTACGTATATGTATATATACATACATATATATATATATACACACATAGGCATTTCAGGGTAGGGAAACATGTCTATAAATTCATGGGTTAAGGTACATTGCTGGAAGGTCAAGTGCCTCTCTTATACTTCTCTAAGGGAAGTATGGAAAAGGGGAAAGGGCATAGTCACATCTAAATGAGTTTGAGTTCCAGCTCTGTCCTTTCCCAGATGTGAGAGGCAGACTGAGGTAATAGAACGATCACTGGACCAAAGAGTGGGAACAGGTGTTAGGGAGGGGGGTAGCAGGTGGTGAGACTGAGGCACAAAGAGATCATGACTTACCCAGGGTCACTCAGCAAGCGATAGAGTCAGTACCTGAAGCTGTCTTCTGATGCTGAATCCAGTGCTCTTCCCACCACACTGTGATGCCTGAAAAGTTGAGCATCATGATGAAGGTTTTGAAAATTAAATTTGATTTTCTAATTGACCTGCTCTGTCTCTTCAGAGCAATGTCCATGCCATCCCTGATTCATCCTCAGTGAACAGTGGCATCTAATTGATTGTATATATGTCTACCCTTTGTTCTGTTCCCCCAACTCTTCACTTTGACTTTTCTGTCAAGTTAAAGTGAACGAATTCTGAAGAGCTGTCATGTGGAAATGGAATTAGGCTTGTTCACCTTGTCCCCAGCGGATTCCATGTAATGAAAAACTTCCTCTTGGATTCAGAATTTCAAACCTGGAAGACTCTGCCTTGAGAGGTCATGAGTTTCTCATCTCTGGAGATCTGTAAGTGAAAGTTGGATGACTATGTCATGGGGATCCTGGCAAGAAGCATCCTGACTTAGATACGGTCAGAACTCTGAGGTCCCTTCCAACTGAGGTCTTCTTATCCTAAAAGAGCTCCTATTAAAAAGCTCCTGTTGAACCTTTGTCACTTATCCCCGCTCCCTCTTTCAGTTTTACTGATGTCTTTTTGCCTTTATGTCATATTAATTTCCAAACATGCTATTTCCATCCCTGCCCCCATCCAGTGAACCACTTCCCCCAGTAAACCCTCCCTTGTTACAAAGATTAAAAATAGAAAAAATTTCAGCCAATCAACTCAACCACCTTGTCTGATGGCATGCACAACATTTCACACCCAGAGTCCCCCCTCTCTTAAAAAAAGGGGGGAGGTGCTTTCTCTTCTTTCTTCCCTGGGTCCAAACTTGGTCATTGTAAGTACATACTGTGTTCAATTTCTTCCTTCCTTCCTTCCTTCCTTCCTTCCTTCCTTCCTTCCTTCCTTCCTTCCTTCCTTCCTTCCTTCCTTCCTTCCTTCCTTCCTTCCTTCCTTCTCTTCCTCCTTCTTTCTTTCCTTTTGTCCCCTCCTCTCTCCATTTACACTTTTGGAGACATTACAGATATTATTTTCCCAGTTCTGATTACTTCACATTGTATTAATACATAGGGTCATGAGGGGACCCCACTACGTCTTAGACATCTTCACTTTAGTTAGGAAATATTTCCTTACTTGACAATTACTGTACTTGCCTCTTTGTAAGATCCACTTCTTCTCCCCACCCCTAGTTTTACCCTCTGAGGCTAAGCTGAATGATCAGAACAAGGTAAACACCTCTTCCTTGTCTTAGCCCTTCAAACCCTTGAAGAGAGTGACCATGTTCTCTCCTAGGCTTTCCATTTGAATTTTTTATTTGTAGGTTAGTTAATGGCCAGAGGAGACTGAATTGCCTCCATATCAACAGTAGAGATCTTAGGAGCTTAGCCTGTCCGTGGCATCTGGTCTTTTTCTCCCATGGACTGTGCCTGTAGGTGCTTTTAGCTTCCCGACTATACCTTTCTTGGAGGGCTGAGAAGCAAGGGTACCATCTTGTGGGACACAGCTGTGTTGGCCTTTCTGAAAAAATATTCCTTTGGGGGTGTAATGGGAACATCCGACTAGGGTTTTGGGTCAGTATTCTGATGGATTTTTCAATTTGGGTGCCTTAGGAGAACTGGAGGGAAAGTTAGGTCTTATATGAACTACATCCCTATGCTTATCTGAGAAACTTCCTGAGTGAGGGAAAACATACCCTAATGTACATTTAGACTGAGTTAGGGGGCAATAAACATTTATTAAATGTTTTGTATGTGCCAGGCACTGTGCTAAGTTGTGGGCATACTAAGAAGGGCAAAAACAGGTTACCTGCTGTGAAGGAGTTTAGATTCTAGTGGGGGAGAGAACACAGAAAAAATAATGTATATACAAGATATGTACTGTATAAATAGAAGGTCATCTCAGAAGGAAAGGGAGATTATAGCTGAGTTGTGAAGGAAACCAGGAGTCAGAGGTGAGAAGAGAGAGCATTCCAGGCATGAGCATCATTAGGTAAGAGATGGAGAAAAAGGCATAGTGTCTAGGACTATATAGAGGTGATAGTTCCTATGTAGAGGTGATAGGGTTTTAAGAGGCAGAGTTGAGGAGTGGGTGAGGAATCATGGGTGCAGAATCACGGACTGTTGTGTAAGCATCACCCAGCTAAGTCATGCTTCATCCATGGTGCCAGTTATCACTGGCATATTGATCCAGGTGCCCCAAAGTGCTGGTACTGAGGATCCCCATCTCACTTCATAATATTCACGCTTCTCATGGAATTGAGGTGGCAGGCAGCTCAGCATGCCTGCTGCGGGGTTCAGACTCAGTGCTGAGAGCATGGATAAGGCTTTCCACTTCCATATTGGGATCTAACTTGAGTCTCACTCAAGCCAAATGCAGTTTGCCCTAGGCCGACCTTGACTCTAACTAGTAGCAGATCTTGAGTGTTGCTCAGATTTATAAAGACATAGTTCAGAAAAACTCAGGGAACACTGTGTTCTGGATGCTGTTTAAGACTGATGTTCTCTTTGGAGAGCTGGTTTATGTTGAGCCCTTACCAGCCCACAGCTGTATGTCCTGTATTGGGATGGAATGCGGATTTTAAACTCAGCTTCCTGCCACCCACAGGGTTTGCCCCAGGCATGATGGTAAAGCAAGGATGCCTTCCCCCTTCTGACCCCCAGGCCCCAGCCCACCCTTCCCAGGAACCCATGCTCCACACCTTCTTTCATAAATTACCAGATCTCAAAGTTGAAAGGGCCTCCCCTGTCCCCACTCATTCTTTTACTTTTATGTTTTGCGATGCTGGGCACTTCACTACCCACAGCTTCTTGTGTAGAACTCCCAGAGCACAGACAGAATGGCACTTGGTGTTAGGGTAGAAGCTGGACAAAGGAAAGGGGGTTAATCATAGTATTAATAATAATAGCTAGCATTTAAATAGCACTTTAAGGTTTGCAAAGTGATTTACAAGTATTATTTCGCCTGATCCTCAAAACAACCCTGGGAGGTAGGTGTGTTGTTATTCCCATTTTACAGATGAGGAAACTGAGACACAAAGCACTTAAGTGACTTCTAGGGTCACTCAACTAGTAAGCAAGACCAGATTTGAATTCAAGTTAGTCTGACTACTGTCCTACTTCAGAGAGTAATGTATTTTCCAGGAAGCCCCTAGAGATCTGGGCCAGAGTATCTAGAAAATTTCTTAGATTTGGTAGGAACTATCAGTGTTAGGAAGCTCAGAGTACCAGGCTGGCCCCAAATTTGGTGTGTGTGTTATGTACGTGAATATGATCCTAGATTGTCAGACTGGGCTAGTGGAATATAAGCTGGCTGAGCTATAACTAGGGTGGGGTTGCCAGTGCTTTGTTTCAGGGCACTAAAATTTAGCAGGTTGTCACTAGCAGTTATACTCATTTAGCAGCATGGAAACAGCTGAGCTTAGTACCTGGTTAGTCAGAATAGGGATAGAGAAAGGGGACCTGTGATTTCATTGGTTTAGAGAGCTCTGGGCTGAGGGAACTCGGCAATTAGAGGCAGCTAGGTGGCACCATAGTGCATAGAGTGCCAGACCTGGAAATGGGAAGACCCAAGTTCAAATCTGGCCTAAGACACTTCCTGATGTTGAGCAAGTTACTTACCTTTTCTCTGCCTCAGGTTCTCTAACTACAAAATGGGGATGATAATAGCACCTACCTCCCAGGGTTGTTGTGAGGATCAAATGAAATAATATTTGTAAAAGGGCACAGTGACCTCTGTGTGTGTGTGTGTGTGTGTGTAGATATGTGTGTGTGTATATATACACGCACGCATATACATATACATGCATGCACACATATATACATATATACACATGCATATGCACACATGTACATATATATTATAGATAATATATGCATGTCTGTATGTGTGTATATATGTGTGCATATGTATGTGTATACATGTGTGTTTGTATATACACATATACACATGTGATATATAGTAGGTGCTTAATAAATGCTTATTTCTTTCTACCAATTCACATTGGCACCTTCTGTGCCATTTATAGACTTGGAGAGTTGCCTGTCTAACCTGAGAAGTTAAGAGACTTGTCCAGGGTCACTTAGCCAGCATGTTTCAGAGGCAAGGCTTGAGCTCAAGTTGTCCTGGCCCCAAGGATGGCTCTCTCCACTCCACTCCACTGCTTCTCAAGATAAGTTAGATAAAATAAAAAGCTACCGGATGGTCAGTCTTCTCCCTCTTGCCTCCCTAAGCATATCCTGTGCCCAGACATCTCCATCCCTCCCTTCATAACTGCATTTGTCTTACAAAGTGGATGGCTTTGGGGGGATGTTTCCTATCATTTGCCCTGGGCATCTTTTGTCAAACTTGTCGTGGGCTGCCCTGTTGCTCTCGTGACCACTTTGGGCTGTGGGCGAGATCCTAGTGATATCTGTTGCCCCCCAAAGATGAGCCCAGCTGAAGGAGGACAAGCTCGTGCCGGGGCAGTGCCGAGTTCCAAGGTTCCTGCCCCCCGTGTGGGTGCAGGTCTGCTCTTGGAGGCTGGTGGGGCCCTGGGACTCCAAGTGCTGGTGAGATGCCCACAATCCCCCTCTGTAAGCAAGTGAGCTGTTGTGTTTCTCCCTCCCTCTCCATACAGTTACAGTCTCCGCTTGACCTCTCGATGCCCTCTCTCAGCTACGCCTCTCACCAGGCAGTGTAAGAAGGCCCAGGCCCAGGCCCAAGCCCAAGCCCCAGGAGCCCACCTTCAAGGAGCGTTCCTAAAGGAATAAATGTCTCTTTGCCGGGAAACAGGTACAGGGCTCGATGGGGGCAGAATCACATTTTATTTTGTGTCATTGATGCATTTGTTTTTGCATTCCAGTCATTTCCCAGTTCAGAAGGCAGCACATGGATGGAGTGCCGACCTTGAAACCAGGAAGACCTGGGTTCAAATCCTGCCTCTGACCCGTATTGGCTCTGTGATCCTGGGCAAATCCCCTTACTCGCTCTGTGCTCTCAGCGACTCACTAAGAGTGGGAGAAAGTGTGCTGATGTGCCCTGCTAGAGATAGCTCCCTTTCTGGGGGGCTCCTTGTGCCAGTGAATTCATGGGTCCCATCCTTGTACCTCTCCTCTTTCCCGGTGGTTTCCCAGTCTCTGCCATGGAACCCTTCCTTGAAGCCCCTTGACTCCGCTTGAAAGAACAAACTGTGTTCTGTATCCATTACCTCCCCACCCCCAGTCTCTTGCAGTCTTTCCCAGTTCATCACCAGTTAGCTTTGTTGGAGTCATTGTGACGATACTGGTTTTCAGAGTCTGCTGACTTTGCTCACTGTCATTTTATCACATCTTCCCATGGGCCCCTGAATTCCTCATATTCATCATTTCCTGTGGCACAGTAGTTAAATTTCATCCATTCTGAGTGGTTGCTAGGGGGAGGGGAGGGATGGAGCTGTGAATCTTGTAGGGACTTCTGTGGGGAGAATTGGATCTAGGAATACCCGGGGACCTAAAACGAAAAACCCAGCAGCCTGACACGCAGAAAATCTTTGAGTACAGCCAGAGATAGGGATTCAATCCATTCAGCAAGCATATATTAAATGCCCACTGTTTGTGGGCACTTTACCAGGTGCTAGTGAGGTGTGGTTGTTCAGGGAGAACTGGCACCTCTGGTGTGAGGGCTGCCGAGCACTTTGCAGGGCTGCTCACCCACCTGTGGTATCCACCTAGCATTCCTCTCTCACCTGTGGCTCCTAGCGGCGGCCATACCCTGGTAAACCTTCACAGCAGATGGGCCAAACCAGGTTTGGGGTAATGGTCCACAAACCCTTTGGTTGGGATGTCTACCCCAAGCACGTGAAGACGTCCTCTGGTGATGAGGGCAGTTTTGTTCCAATGGCAGTGAAGGTGGCTGAAGCAGGCTCTGTGGAGTACTCAGAGCTTGGTCAGACATCAGAGACGCCAAGGTCATCTACTGCATCCCGGGCCATCACCAGTCGTCCTGACTTTTGTCCTGCCACTGGACTTTGAAGACTCTGGAAGAGAGAGTGAGGCTGAGGACTTTGTGCAGCTCTGCCTCACTTAAATCCAGTTTGCACAGGAGTCAAGACATCACCCCATGAGGTCATTGGTCCTCTTCGAAAATGAAGGACAGAAAACAACTAGGTGCTAGTTACAATAATGATGAGCATATATATATAGTGCTTTAAGAATTGCAAAGTGCTTTATCATCTTATTTGATCCTCGTAATAGTCCTGGCAGGTAGTTGCTATTGTGAACCCCATTTTACAGTTGAGGAAACCGAGGCAGACAGGTTATATGACTTGCCCAGGGTCACACAGTTACTAAGTGTCTGAGGCCGGATTTGAATTCCCATCTTCCTGACCCTATCCATTGAAGCAGCTAGCTGCCAAGGAATCGGCAAACAAAAATAAACCTTTCCCTGCCCTTGAGGAGTTTACATTCTATAAGGAAAAACAACATGTAAGCCAATAAGTAAATAAGCAATATGTGTAAAGTAATTTCACTGGGGTGGAGAGCACTGACACCTGGGAAGACAAGGAAGGGCCTTTTCTAGAAGGTGGAACTTGAGCTGAGCCTCAAAGGGTGTTAGATGTTGAGTGCTCCAAAAGGGCTTGTGTGATTGGAAGAGAGGCAGAATCGCTCTGGTGTGAGAGCCCACTCTAGGCAAACGAATCCTAACCCAGTTGTGCCTTTTTGCTCCTCCACAGCTCCTGAGATGACATCTGCATGAGCAAGGCCCACGGGGCCCCAAGGCTGCCATGCATGACGCGCTATTCCTGTCCTTTGGTCCTGAGAGAGAGAGAGAGAGAGAAAAAGACGAGTCTCTGTGTGTGAATTTCTGTCTTCAGAAAGGAGACCTGAGCCCAAAGGGGACATGATAGTCACTTACTCCACTGGGTCCCTTCGAGGGTGATATTGGAATGTCTCCTTTCCCGGGTGGGCTGAAGGGGAAAGACATCATGACCCCATGACGTGTTCTATGGCAGAAGGTCATGGCCAGGTTTGGGTCTCTCTTTCTATGCAATTTTTTTCCAAGAGTCCCCGACCCTGTCTTTGCATCTAAAGTCATCCATTGCCATTACCTGGACGGGCTTCAATCTTATGGCCAGCTTCCGTCCCATCCAAGGGGATCTTCAGGAGAAGGTTCCTGGATTGATGCTTCCCACCCTCCATCCCCCCAGTCCCAGCTTCTCTTTCTCCAAGTTCTGCAGAAATCCACAGCGGGCAGAGATGCTTAAGGAGTCTTGGTGAAATTCTCCTGGTGACCTGAGGCTCCCCCCACCCCTTGGGAGGGGAGAGGAGGAAGAAAGCCTTCTTGCCTAAAAAAATAGGATTTGTTGGGTCTTCATTCAGTCCCTTCTGACTGGGTGGGTAAGACCCCTCTAGATTTCAAACTCCCATCAGTGCCTGTGTTGTTGAATCTGGGTAGAGGAGTCCTCCAGGCCTGGGTGAATCTTGGAAGGAAGCTGGTCCTTCCCTTCAGGCCTGGCTTCTCCAGGGAAGGCAGAGAAGGTGGGCTGGGATGCTTTCACCTCTGCTGCTGTCCCCCACTCTGATGCTGTCATGGGCATCTGGAGTGCTTAGGCTCTCAGTTTCAAGTACCATATGAACTTGAAAAAAAAAAAGATTTAGAAGTACAGAAAAAAGGGAGAAATTTCAAAGTCAGGAACAGCCTGATGGGGTAGGGGTGGAAGTGGGAGATCCCTCCACACCTAGGAAAAATAGATGAACTAAGATCAACTAATTTTGAATCGGTCCAATGAAGTTCCCGGGCATTGTGCCTTTGAAGGCAGGCCATGTGGAAAGACTCTCTTGGGACCATTTTGGTGCCGTTAAATATTCTTGGCTTGATATATCAAACCCAAAGTTGAAGGACATTTATCAAAGTACAAGAATCTTGACATGACGTGATTGGGGGGCGTTGGGTTTTCTTTTGTTTTGTTTTGTTTTATGTTTTCTTTTTCCTTCTGGGCTACCATGGTTTAATCTCCCAACTCTGTAAATATGTATGAAGATGATTTTAAGAGCATGTATTTATGTCCCTGACTGTAAATGCTCCATTTTTAAAGTTTTATAACTCGTGTTATTTAATTAATCAACAGCTGCAGTAAAGTGATGGAGATGGGTCCATGAGAAGGGTCTCATGGAGATAAATCCTCATGTGGGCAGGAAAAAAAAATCGGAATCACAGTTTAATGTCAGAATTTGTACATTTCCCACCCAATGGAAAAGTTTTCTAAGTGGTTAATAAAATGGAAGCCTCACTCTCCTCCCCAAATTAATCCTCTAGCATGGAAATTGTGGGTTTTTCTTATCCTCATGGTAAAATTTTGTCCCAATCGTTCAAATTCACAAAACTTTCCCTGTTCCCTCCTCCAATTCCCAAGGTATTTCTGTTTCCTGGGAAAGAGTTCTGTGGCTGAAAGCCCATGAGTCTCTCCTTCTACCCTGTGATAATGAATATTGTTGGGGGTAGGGATTGCTAAGTGAGGGGAAATCATTCTTTGCATGTCAAATTTTACTGGTCATCTTTGAGCACTCTCCTCATGTGATTCCCAATCTGAGTGTCCCAATAACGAAAAAGAGAAAAAATGAAAAAAAAAACTGATTTTTTTTTAAAGTGGTGTTTCCTGGTCAGTGCTGGTCTTCTGAATGTTGAGTGAGATTGCTGAAGACTCTGTTGTTTGTCTGCCATGTGAAGAAAATGAACAATAAAAACAAACGAAACTGAAATGCACCTGGGGGGGAAGCCCTTGTGGAAAAGAGTCCTTTTCTCTTGGCCTCGGCTTCTCGCAGTAGGAATTCTGGACTTGGGTGGGAGGTTAGGCTAGCTGGCCCCTGGAAGGCAGCTTCCGACTCCAAGAGGGGAAGAGAGAAGGTCTTGGGGCTGAGCCGTTGCCTTCATCTCCCTTTTGCTCTTCAACATCCAAAGCTTGCTTCTTCTTGCTCTATTTCCCTCTCCCCTCTTGCTCACTAGTGCTCTCTCCGTGGCTCTCTCTCTCCCCTTCCCTCCCCCCTCTCTCTTTCTCCTCTCTCTTCCTTTCTCTTCTCCTTTCTCTCTCTGACTGTCTCTGTTTGTCTCTCTCTGTCTTTTCTCCTCCCCTCCCCCGTCAGAAGTCACATCTTCCTATACATTCTCAGAATTACAGGGCCATCCAGGGAACCACCAAGCCTGTCTGGGGGAGAAGGCCACACCTGTAAGGTAGGGTTGGGAAATGGACAGAAGTGGTGGATGTGCGGGATTGATATGGGAAATTCAAGGAGACATTCATGGAAAGGGGGGGGCATTGTGAGGGAAGGCTGGGAAAGCAGCATTGGTAGGTGATGTTGGAGACATCTGCTGATGGGTATTTGAGAAGCATTCATTGATGGGAGGTTGGGAAGGAAGAGGAAGGCAATGGAGGCATTGACAGGGAGGGTGGTGAGTAGATGTTGATGAGAGGTTGAAAAGGGGGCATTGCCAGGGAAATTTAAGGGAATCATGAATAGGAAATGAGGACGTTGGCTGAGGAAGGAGGCATCAACAGGTTGGTTGGACAAAGCTTTTGATAGGGGGTGAGGAGCAGACATTAATGGGAGATTGAGAGGGGCGTTGACAGGAAATTGAGTCACTGGTGGGAAGTTGGGGCATTAACAGGCAGGTTAGGGTAGTTCTCAATGGAGGATGTAAAGGGGAAAATTAGGAATGGAACATTGATGCGGGGGTTGGGGAGGGGTCCGGAATTGGCTTAATGGTAGGTTGTAAGAGAAGAGGGCAAGATAGCAAAGGATCTTGCTACTTCACTGAGAGCTAGCCAACGGCAGGAAGGAAAGTCCAAATTTCTCTGTTTCCCCACTAATCACTTCCGTATTTTAAATGGGTAAAAATGTGTCGTCTTCTATCCCCATCCACTCTGCCTTCCCCCCAAAATTCATTAAGAAATATACAAATTTTGCTTCAGAACAGAGAGAACAGAGACGAAAGGGAAAGGCCAAAGTGGTAGAACGGCGAGTTCTTTTCTCTAGGTACGCCCCGCCTAAAGAAATACCTGAGAGGAGAGGGCAGGGAAGGGCTTGAGAGACATTCTGAGACTGCTTGGCTCCTCCTTTGGCTGAGCTAAGGGCTTCAGTTCAACCAGAAACTCTGAGCCAGAGAGGTTTGTTTTTTCCTTTTCTTTTCCCTCCCCTTGACATTCAGTTCTGCTGATGAGTCCAAAGCCCCATGAGTTAGAAGCGAGAGGGAAAACCTGCTTGTGAGGAGACAGCTGGAGAGCCTGTCTGGGGTGGGGGAGGTCTGGCAAACAGTGGCCCTCCCCAGGCTGCCAGCCTCTCGGGGTCCTCCCAAAGATGCGCTGTCTCCGTCCCCAAAAAGTAAAGGACACTCATCTGTTTTCAGGCACTGTCCGTGCCGTGCTAATGAACTCCAGAAACCAACCCTGACTCCTTGTCCCCGGGGGAAGGGAGAGTTGAAGGGGGCAAAGGATCCCATGCAGAGGAACTGGCAAGTGAGAAATGCAGTCATTACCGCAAATCACATGACAGGCTCTTGTCACTTAAAGTTAACTGGCTCAGATTTCCTTTTGACAATGGCTACGAAGGACACTAGCTCACTTTGTCTCTCTTCAAGACATATAAATGTTTGTATAGTCCATATATGTATGTGTATATATGAGTGTATAGAAATATATTTTTATATATTTATACATTATATATCTATAATTTTATATGAAAGAGAGAGAGAGAGAACTTGGTTCATGACAACCTGTGAGGGAGATAATGTATGTGCCGTTGTGTCCAGTTCACTGATGCGGAGACTGAGGCTCCAGAATTACATAGAGAGTAATTAGAGCTTGGGGTTGAACCCAGGTCTTCTGACTCTTGATCTGGTGATAGAGCTAGTTCAGGCTTCTCACAGAATCTCAGAAGCCATCTAGTCCGGTCGATACCTGAAAACCAATCTCCTTTGATAGCTAATACTTCCATAGCACTCTCAGGTTTCCAAGTGTTTTACTTTATGCTATCTCCAACAACCCTCTGAGTTAGGTGCTGCTATTATCGTGATTTTACAGATGAGGAAACTGAGATTGAGAGATTAAGTGACTTGCTTAGGGTCACACACCTATAGTAAGTATCTGAGGCAGGATTCAAACTCAGATCTAACTGACTCCAAATCCAAACCCTAACAACCTCCAGAAAAATACCCGATGAATGGGCCTCCAACCTTTGTATGAAGGATAGAAAGAAGTAAACAAACATTTATTATGTGCCTATTTTGTGCCAGGCACTGTGCTAAGCACTTTACAAATAGTATCTTCTTTGATCCTCACAAAAACTCTGGGAAGTAAGTGCTATTATGACTCTCATTTTACAGTTGAAGAAACTGAGGCAGACAGAGGTTAAGTGACTTGCCCAGGGTCACACAGCTAGTAAATCCCTGAAGGCAGATTTGAACTCGGGTCATCCTGTCTCCAGGTCTGGCATTCTATCCACTTCAATAACTGACCTAAGACCACCAGGGAAAGGGAACTGCGTTAGCACAGTTCTGGGCACATAGTAGGTACTTAATAAGTGCCAGTTAACCATCTTCAGTTGCAGTCTTTTATTTCAGTTTCTCAAAGTAGTAGGAAGTGTTTCCTGACATCAAGCCTAGATTTCATCCCTCCTCTCCACCTTTCCCCAGGCTTCTCTAAGCTAATCACCCCAGTTGCTTTTTCAAAAGTAGATCTTCATAAATTGTGTTACAGTAGAAAGAGCACTGGGGACCTGGGTTCAAATCCTGTCTCTGATGCTTACAACTTGTGGGATCTTGGGCAAGTTAACCTCTGTCTGTCTCAGTTTCCTTATTTGAAAAGTGAAGGGTTTGGGTCCTCTGAGGTCCATTCCAGCTCTGTAAAATCCTGTGTCATAAACTCATGGTCTTTACCAAACTTTTAGAGTAGCAGAAAAGAAGCATTCTTCTTCAGGTGGCCCTAACTTGAAATTTGTAGACTAGTTGAGTAGTGAGTATGTTTATTTTTTAGAAAAACTCTCATTTTTGTAACACGATTCCCCTGGGCTTTGACTTTCCCAAACCAAGCCATGTCCATGCTGGGTAGATAACCCAGTCGTTTATGGGAACAATGGCGGAGTTGCCCTGGAGGACTCCTCTTATTGGTGACTGTTTCTCCTAGACCACTATTTCAAGAAAAGCCCCAGCCATGCTTGACTCCATGGACATCCTTTTCTTCTCTATCTCTCTCCCTGTTCTGGGGCCATCAACCATGATCTTGGCAACTCCGCCATTGTTCCCATAAGACGTGTGTGTGCAGTCACTATCCTTATCCCCTTAAATGAGCTAATATTTGTGAAACATGCAGCACAGTGCCTGGCTCACAGTAGGCACTTAATAAATTCTTGTTCCCTTTCCTTCCCTGACCACTCCTCTCCTTTGTGTGTTGTCTATCCCAATATAATGTAAACTACCTGAGGGCAGGGACTGTCTTTACTTTTGTTTTATTCATTCATTCACATAAAATAATCAGAGATGAGTGTGTTTATGTATATACTTGTGCATATACACAGTACAGTTATGTAAATATACATTAGACATGTGGTTTTCACATGCGTATACATATATGTAGGCACACATATGTGTAAATATATGTATGTTTGTCCATACATACATGCATACATACATACATACCTGTGAAGCAGTGTGATGGTATTGATGGTGGAGACCATCAGGTAAGGGTTCTTATAGGGGATGTGCTGTTACTGAGCCTTGAAGGGAGCTGGGGATTCCAAGAAGTAAAGGTACCAGAGGGAGAGCCATCCAGAAAGGAAGGTGCAGCCTGTGCAATGTTCTGGAGTTAGGAGATGGGCTGTCACATGGGCAGCCAGGAGCAAGTCATTTGGACTGAACTATAGAATACATGAAGACGGTGGTGTGCAGTAGTACTGGGAAAATCTGTAGCCAGATATTGAAGGGTTTTAAATGCTAAAGAGATTTGTATTTTGTTCTGCAGGCAATATGGAGCCATTGAAAACTATTTTTTTTTTTTTGGCTAGGCAGTGGGGTTAAGTGGCTTGCCCAGAGTCACGTAGCTAGTAAGTGTTATGTGTCTGAGGCCGGATTTGAACTCAGGTCCTCCTGAATCCAGGGCCGGTGTTCTATCCAGTAGGTCACCTAGCTGCCCCCATTGAAAACTTTTTAATGCAAGGGTGTAACATGTTCAGATCTGTTGTAGTAATAGTAGCAGGCATTTATATTTGAGGTTTGCAGAGTGCTTTATAGATATTAAGTAATTTGATCTCCACAACTACC